AATTAGTTTTTAGCGTCCGGAATAAAAAATTAAATAATTAAAATCTAACTATAGTCATAAAAAATTAGGATTAAAGTTGTTTCAACTTATTTAATTAATCGATTTTTCAGTGACCAAACCCAAGCTGATGCTGGGCATGACTACCCTAGATATCGATACGGTCGTCGCCGCAAGTACCGTAGCCGCAATCATCACTGGCCCTGGCGCAAACATAACTCACGCAAATATCCCTGGCAAAGGCATCACGCAGGGAAATATTGGCCTCATAGAGGCAAATATCCTTCCCAAGGGGGCAAATATCCTTTCCATGGGGGCAAATATCCTTTCCGAGGAGGCAAATATCCTTTCCATGGGGGCAAATATCCTTTCCATGGGGGCAAATATCCTTCCCATGGGGGCAAATATCCTTCCCATGGGGGCAAATATCCTTCCCATGGGGGAAAATATCCTTTCCATGGGGGCAAATATCCTTCCCATGGGGGTAAATATCCTTTCCGAGAAGGCAAATATCCTTCCTACAGACGCAAACATCGCTGGAGTCATACTGGATAAATATACCACGTGATTGCATGTGAGTACTGCGTGCGCTAAAACCATTATCATTGTCAGATCATTGCTGTAAAAAATACCGCGCTGTCTCGGCAACTACTCCCTTCCTCAAAACAACGCCCCGAAAATAACATCACTAGTTCATGAAGGTATATACAATATTTTGCACGACTTCAATGTAGGCCTAATACTGCATTTGTCAGATAGTGGTATTTCCGCAGTTTTATTTCCGAGTGAACGAGGGGCTAAGAAGGATACTCCTAATTTTGAAATTTACATATTTCCTCCTGTTTAAAAGTGATCATTTTCTGTCACAAAACATTTTTTCCGTCAGTGTATCAACTAGCACAGATTAATAGATATACATGCAGCAAGGGTCTTTCAAAAAGCGGAACTAAATTGATAATTACACACGCACTAAAAGCGAAATCCATATAGTAATTCTTCATTCAAATTCTTTTGCTTCGAGTTATACATACTGTACGAAATAAATGACATCCCAAAGGCACATAAATGCCTTATTTATTACCTTTTATGACCATTAGGCATTAAGGTGACTAATAATCACATTATCATGCAGAATAATTTTAGCCGGTAAATTCAAAAATTATTTTGATGGGATGACAACCCTGTATACGCAAGTAAGACCCAAATTTTAACCTGGACGGTTGGTAACATATTGCATTTTCTTTTTGTTTAGGATATTATATGACTGGAATCAAGGAAATGAGTGGACAGCATAGTAACATTGATAACTTTAAAACGTGTATATAGCTGTGTAATCATTAAAATTCATGCAGTTAAAATACTTTGTGTTTTCTTGTGTGAGTTCACACTTATATTTGCTTTATAACACTGCCATTTACAAAGAATATTAAAATGAAGCAGCATTGTAAAATGGCATATTTTGCATTGTTTGAAGTTCATGATGAAAACCATGTTTGGTCAATTTTCGTGTTAGCAATAATTCGGTCTCATTTGGGACTACATCTTCCCGAAGCAAAAGTTGATATATGCCTTGAAACTGCCCTGCTTTGCACCTTTTTTTTTCTGCATTGAACTTAATTTTTGCATTGGAAACGAGTGGTCGGAAAATCTAGATTCATCAGGGGAGGTAACCATAATATTATCTAGATCAGGCTATAAGCCAAAGGCCTGTGGAAAAATTTGAAAAAATCTAGTAACTAACTAGATCTACGCAAGTTTATGATCATGATAGCTCTCTATTACAAGTAGTAGAAGCATATCTAGCTTGAGTATATATAATTAAAGCCGTCGCCCGAGTTCAAAACACGAGGAATATATAACACCACTTACCTGTCTCTTTTAGTCCATGTTTTCCTTGCAGATGAGAATGATTAATGCTTTCCACAAGTCTCAGTTTATAGAATAGTACTCAAACATAAGTAAGGAGATAAAAGTAGAGCGGAATGTGCCAACCAGTGGTCTTAAAAATTATTAAAATGTGGATGCCAATAAACAGCATAATCAGCCACATTTATAAGCCCTTTGACAAGTACGTCCACAGTTAATAGAGGTATGCCGTATGACAAGTTATTTCTTCAAGATATCGTCATGTAACTGAGTCTTTGTTCGTAAGAATACATGCTCTAGTCGATTTCTATTCAGAAATATTTGGTTGTTCTGCAATTTAAACACGTTTTTATTTGCCTACACAAAACCAGTGGCGTACTAACGTAGCCAGGCCAGGGTTTCAGTCCTATGCTAATATCTTTATGTTCATCGACTGTGAAAACAATAAATTTCTTTAATATGCCAACTTAAAATTTGCATAAATTGACAAAGCTAAATCGTCAGCAGAAGCGTAGCCAGCCTGACGATTTGTCCCACTATGCTAATATTTTGGTGTTCATTCACTGTGAAAACAATAAATTTCTAAATATGCCAACTCAAAATTTGCATAAATTGACAAAGCTAAATCGTCAGGCCGGCTACACAACTGCGCCGGAGAATCCTGCGAGTTTAACTTTTGTATTCAAAAAGCTCACGCGGACTCTCACTCACGTTGTGGCATTGAAAGTCTTTTATTCTCAATCAACAGAATGATTTAAGGCAAGAAACTGAAAATCAAGCTCTTATTAATAAAGTCATTCAACTGTTACGACGTGATTCAAATCTACTCAGTGTCGTCAGTGCATGAGAGTGTATGGGGAAAAATAGGCTAAATAGCATCATACAGTTTAGCTAAATTATCATATAGCTGTATTTCCAGGTAAAGAAGGGGGTACTGGGGGGTATTTAATTCGTTGCAGCATTATGCCGCAATATTCGGAATAGTCCAGTTTATTCATATAAGATGAAATACTAAACAGTACAGGCTTTTGTTGTTTAGAAAAATGGTCTGCCCCAAATGAGAACCTCAGAGTATCAATATCTGATGTGATGTTCTATAGGATCTAAATTATATAGGGGGTGATAAGCAACGCGTTTTGATCCATCTTCATACAGGATCAATAACCTTAAGAGCTTAAAATTTGCGTATTTTGAGCTATATTTTCAACAACAAACAGTTCTTTTTATCGAAATTTTAATAGGTAACTAACTATTTTTGCAGAATTTTAAATTATTTTTCCTACAAAGACTGCACTATATACTCAAGAATTTTCATGAATACGATTATACAAGCTTTTTTTAATTCTCAATGATAAACTCTTTTGAACAGATTGAACTTAAGAATAAAGTGGGCTTCTTGGGAATTCCGAGGTTGTAGAATGTCTTTACCAAATCGAGGTTGATAAGGAAACAGCTGAGTAGAGCAAGTATTTGGGACAATCGAAGTGTACTTAAGAGCATTACCAAGTTTAGCTGTTCGTAAGTTATATAATTGTAATATATGAAAAAATACTAATCCAAGCAAGCACGCAGTAATGTCAATGCCAATTAAAATAACTAGTATCAGAGGATGTATAGCCATCTAACGCACTAACGTTAATTAGTAAATATTTGCCTGCAGGATATTCTCACTTCAAACATCTTTAAAAATTTCGTTTCTTTTGGCTTCAGGTGGTAAAAGCGAACTAATTAGTGGTGATGGCAACCAAACTCGTCTTTATTCTTTCTGCATTCGTTGCGCACTGATTATTCTTGAGAGGATTCTAGGGATCCTAATTTTTTTCATATATAATGATTTACTGACTAAATGATATTACTTGAGCGTTAAACGATCTCATGCACCCACCATTTATTAGCCTGCTCGCAGCCCAAAATCAAAAATTAGATCCTAATAAATGGTGGGTGCATGGGATCGTTTAACGCCCAAGTAATATCATTTTACCTGAAATTTATCACTATCCTTTGCAGTGCTTGCATTGAAGGACAAAAACTCTTTAGTGAGACCAATCTACTTTCAAATATTACTAGGTCCAGATAACTACACCATGGTTCAATAAATGTTTTCTAACTATTCAATTCCCTATTTTAGCGACTGAAATTTCCCCCGTACCAGAGTTTTAGAGCCTTTCTCATGAGACATATTCCGACGGCACATAGATTATTTTGGGAGCGTGCGGAAACTATGCAGAAAGCCCAGGTCGGTAACTCAGAGTAGGCACCATCACATAACAGTCACATCACATCCTTAAATCTTATGATATATACTTTTATATATTTCCTAAATTCCGCTAATATTACTTGGGGCTTTAATGTTTCTTGACCTACTTTCTGTTGGATCATTCTCTATTAAGAATTCAGAACCGGTACAATTTTATTATATACTCTGAACTATATGGATATACTATATATACATAAATATATACTATATAATTATTCAGATTACATATTTCAGTGGAATTGTAATAATCTTTCGCACAAGCTGCCATTTCGTTTAGTCAGTAAATAATTTCCAGATAAAGATCGATAACGAAAACGTAGAAAGTCTTCATGGTTTAGCTGTTGGTATAAAAACACTTCCATAATACTTTTAATAATTTAATAATTCTAATATTACTTTATAATACAGTTCAGTATAGTATATCACTCATTTATCTCACCCTCCAGGCAAAAGCTCCCACTGTTAAAAACACTCATTGCTATATAAGTGGAATAAAATCAGAAAATCACCAATGGAGAATTTTTGTATAGTATATTTATCCAACCTTCCCGAAAAAACTTAAACTCATTTCCATAAAAAGATGTACACTTTTGGAGTAATAAGTGTTTAAATCGGAAATTGTCCGGCAGATAACGTGCTTGTGCGATATTGGCTGGATTTCAATGATATTCAAAGAAAGTCAATAAAAAGGAACATTACAAAGACATTGATAAGTGTAGAATTAATTTGATACTAATATGCTAGAATATTGCTAAGTCACTGTATAAATTATCTTAAACATGCAGCGGGTATAAAAGCGTCCCTTGATAACCGTGGCTTGATAAACCAAAGTGAGAACAGAAGACAACGAAAAAAATCTTAAGAAGAATAAAGTGCAGAGATGAAGACATTGTATTTGTTACTTGCACTTGGTCTGCTGTGTGCAGTGGTATATTCAACACCAATCGAAGATGATGAAACTTTGGAAAACGAGTTGAAAGAAGGTACCAATTTACATATTAGTCGTCTTCAGACCTCGGTTTATCATTTTATTCTTGAAGGTATATGCATCAGACAAGTTTGCAAACCTCTAAAATGTGTGCACGTATATATGCAACAATTTTTCGTGTTTTTTGGATCGGACATGCAGTACGTAAAGTTGATCAAAGTGGACTAATACAAAAACTAATAATAGTGATATACTCATGCATTTATACGATGTTTTGTAGACAATGATGAAAATGCCTTGGAAGAAGACGATGAAGACGAAGACCAAATGTAAGTTTTTTACACGCTTAACATTTTTGCCTCAGAATCGTTAAGAAGGATGTTCGGACGAGGAAGGTGAAGAAAAGTCTCTTAATTATATCATGTAATAAACTAATAATTTTACCTTGTGTACTGAATAATCGTCGTATATGAGAAACAATTCAAGCTAGATAAGGCGTCAAACCATTACAGAAAAATGTTTGGGCAATTAAGTATAATTGAATATCGCTTTAATTCTTTAGTCTTTCACCTTTAGTTCAACTGTAGTAAATAGAATCCTGAAAATGGCGCCCGCAATGGAGAATTAAATAATTGACAATTTTGACATCGCTGCAATTCATATCATTATAAATAAATTAGCTTGTAATTTCAACTGATGAAGGCCCGGGTTAACGACCGAAAGCTTTTCAGTATTGAAATATTTACGTGCCCTACCTACCTACAAGCTAATTTACTTATATAATATTAATTATAGTTCGGATTCGTAGAATATTCGCAAAGATACAGGATCATTTACAACAAATCTATGTCGAATGTTCCTGCAAGTTATACAAAATTAAGGTGAATGGTGTTCCGACTGATTTGGTAAATGTTTTTTCAGTGAAGAAGCTCAAGAAGATCCTGGACCTCATTACCCCAAATACCAACCGAGATACAAATACAGATACGGTCGTGCCCGCAAATATTATGGTCGTCAATATTACGGATATTACTGGGGCAAACGTTACGGACGGAGATACTGGGGCAAGTATGGAGGACGCAAATATGGAGGTCGCAAATATGGAGGACGCAAATATGGAGGACTTAAATTTGGAGGACGCAAATATGGCGGATAAATCCGCCACGTGATTGTAAGTAATGATTGCGCCAAAGCCAGGTTTACACTTGTTTTAATAACAGACGATTCTCATCAGTATAGTTTTCATAAATACCGCTTTGTCCATCAGAGGAAAAATGACGAATCGCCGAATTTTGTGGATAAAGTACTTTTAGAGGGGCTTAGAAAAATACTAGCTCCCAACAAATTTTGAAATATAGAGTCAATTTTGTTTAGTAATATATCCAAATACGTTTGTTTCCGTAGTATCAACTATGAGCTTGTCGTATTTCCGAGAAATTTTTGTGATACAGGGTGTCCTAAAAAGCAAAACCATGACATTAATATTAACAAAGTATTAAAATGATAATGTAAATCATAATGTAAAATGATATAATAATTTTTGCTTCAAACATGTTTTGATTTGACTTTTTTTCCTCTTTAGGGATAGAGGACTGGACCCAAAGAAATAAAAGGACAACATTGCATTGAGAACTTTTTTAAATTAGTTGCGCCACTGCCAATGTGCAAATATATAGAATCATTAAAATTGATGCATTGAAGATCTTTCCGTTTTGTTTTTGTCTGAATAAATGAAACATAGTTCAAAGTCAGACTTCGCATGCCAAGGTTTATAATTGTGCTTGCAGTTTAAATGCAGCTATAATGTTCAGATGAAGAGCACATTTTGCCGATGGGGAATACATGCAACTAGCATTTGAATCAAAAACTGCTTAGTCTGTTTTAACTAAAATAAAATATCTAGCTTCACGTCAATATAGTATATTTAACAGTTATTCTGCGAACTCGAGTCGTATATCGGCTGATAGCCGACGAGGCGCATACAAACTTTGTCGCCCTTTCGGTGCATTTTGGTGTGCTATTTTCAACTAGGCTTGGATTTCTATTTCACTCAACTCCCCAAATCTTTCCGCCATTTTGTTTACTTTCTCTACTAGACAGATATGAGCTAATATCTGTCTAGTAGCCAACCAATGAAACTGCAGCATACCTCATATCTGGCGCTTGTGTATATAATAAAAACTTACCGAACCGAACCGGTACAACAGGGCCTTCGTCAGGAGAGTTAGTATTATTCGCTCCTGACGAAGTTATTATCTCCTGACAAAGGCCCTCAGGTCGGAACGTCGAGAAGTGTTCTGTTCTTTTTAGGCTGTTGTCATGCCACATTTTAATGCTAAGTTGTTTGAAGACGCTGCCACGCTGCTCCCTGGTTATATTTTTACTATATACTCTGAATGATATACTTCCATTCCATAGTTATACTACATAATTATTCAGATTAACTCTTAACTGAATATTTCAGTGGAATTTTAATAATCTTCGCACAAACTGCTATTTCTTTACTGACTAAACCTATTATTACCAAGCACAGTATATTACCATATTCACAGCCATACACGGTCAATTGCATTGTGATTTGTACAAATCTCAACCTCAATCTCAAACTCAAATCCGCAATCAAAGAGGGAGCAGTTCTCCACTTCTCTGTTAAAGGCCCTGTTACACGGTGCAATTTTTCTTGCAACTTGCAATGCAATTCTACTTTTGAGAGATGTATATTTGGCAACAACGAAACTTTAGTGTTTATTGCACTTCATGCACTTTTCTTCTGCAAGACTCTTCACTGACTAATTTACATCTCTTAGAAGTGGAATTGCATTGCAAGTTGCAAGAAAAATTGCCCCATGTAACAGGGCTTAAGACAGCGATTATTTTGTTGTTCCTTTGTGGTGGTGAGTGGTGAAAAATTCACTTACAAATGTTATAGTGACAATTATAATAACTCACTTAAAAAACATGCATAGTCGGGTTGCATGGCTGACCGTTCAAAGTACGGATGTGCATGTATACGTTCAGGAGTGCATTTTTTACTTGCATTTTCTTTACATTATTTGGTTGTGATGGAAACAACCCCATCTTTGTTCTTTCTTCATTATTTTGCACAATTATTCTAAAAAAAGAGCTTTTTGTCTATAACCTTCCTATATTTATGGCGGAACTTTTAGAAAAGGACGATAATTTCAACAAGGTAACAAAGTATTTGCACTTCGAGAACATGTATAAATAGAAAATAGTTTTAGAAATAAAAGAAGTCATGACTTTTCCCCAGCATTCAATATACCCCCAAACAACACTTAGAAGAATTCTATAAACACAATTGATAAATTTATGGGAATAAAACGTACTGACATTACATTTAATTTGCTTTGGATTTTATTTATTTCAGCCCAGCAAACTGCAAGTTTGTTTAGTTAAATATAGTGCATTAATATGTGCCATGTTTGTAAAATGTTTGCTATATTGCCCTATCAGGAAACTTGAATGGCATTTCCGGTTCCACTGAAATTCGAATTCCGCTGACATGATTTCCGGGGGGAATAGGCTACTTCAGAATTGAGGAAAAACTACGAGACTACAAACCCTTTCAGTAAACTGACTGTATAAGAATTTTCAATTGCATGCAATGTTTCTTGACGTACTTTATACACTCTCGTTCCTTATAAGAGTTCCGAACCTGGGCATTTCTGTTGTATGAATTTCAATATTTTTAATTCGAACGTTGACTGTCATGTTTTCTAGTAAAGTTTACACTCAATAATCACCAGCATCCAAGAGCGTCTTTATTCTTTAACAGTTGGTATGGAGACTGTTTTCTACTACTTTCAATGATATGTGAACAGAAAATTACGGCTCTTGATACTAATGCTAATGGAGAAAGCTACAAAGACATGAATTCATAGATAAGTGCAAGACCATGCAATTGCCGAGTGACGGTATAAATTATCTTAAACAGCGGGTATAAAAGTGTCGAAAACCGTGGCTTGATAACCCAAGTTCAGAAGTGAGAACAGAAGACAACGAGAAAAATATTAAGAAAAATAAAGTGCTGCATGAGATGAGGACATTGTATTTGTTACTTGCACTTGGTCTGCTGTGTGCAGTGGTATATTCAATACCAGTCGAAGATGATGAACCTTTGGAAAACGAGTTGACAGAAGGTACAAATTTAAGCCTGGTAAAATGCTGTTCGTCATAAGACCTTAGTTCATCATTTATTCCCGAAGTTATGAACACGCTCAAAATATTGAGCTAACAAACGGAATTCTACGACAAAAGAATGGAATGTTGAGGATCACTCAACAAACTACCAAAAGTTCATATGCAACAATTTCATGTTTTATGGACAATTAAAACTGTTGCCAATTCGTGATCACCTTAGTTAACGAAACTCAGTTACTGTCCAAAATTTACTGCACATTTGAGGGTAATTAGTAATTGTTGCAATGTTTACAATATCTTGTATATAGAGAATGATGAAAATGCCCTGAAAGAAGACGATGATGAAAATACTTTGGAAGAAGATGATGAAGATGACGACGAGTATGTTTTAAAAATCCCATTTTATGCATCATAGCATCCATCTTTGTGCTTGGATAGCTACCCCTCCCCAGAGTTTATTTCATAGGGAAAGGGACAGCGAAGGGATGGGAAAAGATAATCTATTTTTCATTTCTTCGTGAATTGAAATTCATACCTAGGCTGTTTATTTTGTTCTATGCTTAGCGAATGGAAATTTGTCACATTCTTTTCATTGAAATGATGTATTTAAATTTAATATTATGCGGAATAGTTAAATCTGTGGTAGCCTCATTAATTAGCACATGTATTTGACCAGCATTCCTGGCAGTTTAGAAATATTGATAAATTTGACTAGTTTTTGGCGCCCGGAATGAATAATTAAATAATTAAAATCCAACTATAGTCATAAAAAATGAGAACTTATTTTTAATTCATTTTTCAGTGACCAAACTCAAGCTGATGCTGGGCATAACCACCACAAATTTCGATGCGGTCATCGCCGCAAACATCCCTGGCCAAGACATCACGGAAGAAAAACTCCCTGGCCAAGACATCACGGAGGAAAAACTCCCTGGCCAAAACATCACGGAGGAAAAACTCCCTGGCCAAGACATCACGGAGGAAAAACTCCCTGGCCAAGACATCACGGAGGAAAATATCCCCGGCGAAGACTTCACGCAGGAAAATATCCTTCCTACAGACGCAAACATCGCCGGAATCATGGATAAATATACCACGTGATTGTAAGTACTGCGTGTGCTAAAGTCTGGTTTACATAAGTTTTAAGAATAGATGTATCCCATTAGGTTTGTGATTCACCGACGAATTCACGAACACAGATTAATAGATATACATGCAGCAAGGGTCCTCCGAAAACGCGGAACTAAATTGATAATTACGCACTAAAAACGAAATCCGTATAGTAATTCTTAATTTTCTTGCTTCGAGTTATACCGTACGAAATAAATGATATCACAAAGGCACATAAATGCCTTATTAATCACATTATTATGCAGAATAATTTCAGTAAATTCAAAAATCATTTTGAAGGGTTCCGTCTTTCTCGGAACAACCCTGTTTATGCAGTAAGCCCCAAATTTTAACCTTGACGGTGGGCATAAAGTATTGCATTTTATTTTTGTTTAGGATAAATGACAGGACCCAAGGAAAGGAATAACCAAGGAATGACAACATATTAATATTGATCACTTTAATTTGTACATGCACCGCTGATATCATGTGTAGCTGTAGTAATAATTAAAATTTATGCAATTAAAATACTTTGTGTTTTGTTATTGTGTGAGTTCACTGGGCTCACCCCTGGCTTGTTTTGAACTAGCTTTGTCTTTCTCGCAGTGCAGTATAAAGGGAGGGGCGCTTGGAGGAGTAAACCTCTTTCTTCAAACTCTGGGGGCCCAACTTTAGAGAATCCATAACTATCATTTCTTAGTCATAAGTCGTGAACATCTATGACGTCATTTGATGATGTCACTCATTTTCCTATGATTTCACTGCTGATTTCCCCCTCGTCAAGGGAACCCCCCTCCCCTCTGTTGTAAATGTAGATCTTCAACATTGCTTTCACGCCCCCACTCCAGTTGTCAAATTAACGTAAAGCAGTCGGTTTAATTAAACAAAGAAAATCAAATTAAAGCAGTATTGTAAAATGGCATATTTTGCACAGTTTGAAGTTCATGATGAAGACCATTTTTGATCAATTTTCGTGTTAGCAATAATTCGGTCTCATTTGGGACTACATCTTCCCGAAGAAAAAGTTGATATATGCCTTGAACCTAATTTTTGCCCTGCCTTGAACTTAATTTTGCAGTGTAAACGAGTGGTCGGAAAATCTAGATTCGTCAGGGGAGGTATCACGGGAGGTACATAATTCATTATCTAGATCAGGCTAAGCCCAAGCCATGTAGAAAATTTTGAAAAATCTATTAACTAGTAAATAGATGCTGGCAATATAACCTGGGAGCAGCGTCGCAGCGCCTTCAGTCAAACAGCTTAGCATCAAATGTGGTATAACAACTGCCTAAAATAGACAAAACACTTCTCGACGTTTCGACCTGAGGCCTTCGTCAGGGGAGTTATACTAACTCTCCTAACGAAGGCCCCCAGGTCGAAACGTCGAGAAGTGTTTTGTCTATTTTAGGCAGTTGTTATATCACAATAATCACATTTGATGCTAGATCTAGGCAAGTTTAACTTTTTAATCAGAAAAGAGATTCTTTCATGATAGCTCTCTATTACAAATAGTAAAAGCATTCTATAGCTTGAATATATATAATAACGACCGTCCGAAACACGAAGAATGACACCACTTACCTGTCTCTTTGTCCATGTTTTCTTTGCATATGAGAATGGTTTATGCTTTCCACAAGTCTCAGTTTATAGAATAGTACTCAAACATAAGTAAGGAGTACTGCACTATAAACTCAAGAATTTTCATGAATACGATTATACAAGCTGTTTCTAATGCTCAAGGATAAACTCTTTTGAACACATTGAACTTAAGAATGTAAAGTGGGAATTTCTTGGGAATTCCGAGGTTGCGGAACGTCTTTACTAAATCGAGGTTGATATGGAAACAGCTGAGTAGAGCAAGTATTTGGGAAAGTCGAAGTGTACTTACGTATTCATAAGTTATATAATTGTAAATTATAAAATTGTCGTATAAATGTAAATATTAATCCAAGCAAGCATGCAGTAATGTCAATGCCAATTAAAAAAACTAGTATCAGAGGGTGTATAGCCGTCTAACGCATTAACGTTAGGTATAGTAAATATTTGCCTGCAGGATATTCTCACTTCAAACCTCTTTAAAAATTTCGTTTCTTTTGGCTTCAGGTGGTAAAAGCGAACTAATTAGTTGTGATGGCAACCAAACTCGTCTTTATTCTTTCTGCATTCGTTGCGCACTGATTATTCTTGAAAAAAGTGGGGTTTTTTCAACCTTCCGATACTTATTTTGAGTGTGTTTTAGAAAAGGACAAGCTATTGCTCAGTGAGACCAATCTCCTTTCAAATATTACTAGGTCCAGATAAATACACCATGGTTCAATCAATGTTTGCTAACTATTCAATTCCCTATTTTAGCGACTGAAATTTCCTCCTTACCATGCAGAGCTTTAGAGCATCTTTCATGAGACATATTTCGACTGCACATACATCATTTTGTGAGCGTGTGGAAACTTGGTCTTGCACTTGGTCTGCTGTGTGCAGTGGTATATTCAACACCAGTCGAAGATGATGAACCTTTGGAAAACGAGTTGAAAGAAGGTACCAATTTACATATTAGTCGTCTTGAGACCTCGGTTTATCATTTTATTCTTGAAGGTATATGCATGCACCAGACAAGTTTGCATACCTCTAAAATGTGTCCACGGCATTAATAAGTTCATTAAAAAGAATAGGATTTCATTTCAAATAATTTCAATTTACAAAGAACGCGATCGTGTTTTATGGATCGGACATGCAGTACGTATAGTTAATCAAAGTGGACTAATACAAAAACTAATAATAGTGATATACTCATGCATTTATACGATGTTTTGTAGACAATGATGAAAATGCCTTGGAAGAAGACGATGAAGACGAAGACCAAAGGTAAGTTTTTTACACGCTAGAATTCTTTGCCTCAGAATCGTTAAGAAGGATGTTTGGACGAGGAGGTGGACAAAAGTCGCTTAAATGTAATAATTTTAACTCGTGTACTGAAGAAACGTGGTATATGAGAAACAATTCAAGCTAGATAAGGCGTCAAAACATTACACCAAAATGTTTGGGTAATTAAGTATAATTGAATATCGCTTTAGTTCTTTAGTCTTTCACCTTTAGTTCAATTGTAGTGAATGGAATCCTGAAAATGGCGCCCGCAATGGGGAATTAAATAATTGACAATTTTGACATCGCTGCAATTCATATCATTATAAATAAATTAGCTTGTAATTTCAACTGATGAAGGCCCGGGTTAACGACCGAAAGCTTTTCAGTATTGAAATATTTACGTGCTCTACCTATACAAGCTAATTTACTTATATGATATTAATTAGTTCAGATTCGTAAAATATTCGCAAAGATACAGAATCATTTGCAACAAATCTGTGTCGAATGTTCCTGCAAGTTATACAAAATTAAGGTGAATGGTGTTCCATGAATTTGGTAAATGTTTTTTTCAGTGACGAAGCTCAAGAAGATCCTGGAATTCATTACCCCAAATACCAACTGAGATACAAATACAGATACGGTCGTGGCCGCAAATATTATGGTCGTCAATATTACGGATATTACTGGGGCAAACGTTACGGACGCAGATACTGGGGCAAGTATGGAGGACGCAAATATGGAGGACGCAAATATGGAGGACGCAAATTTGGAGGACGCAAATATGGAGGATAAATCCGCCACGTGATTGTAAGTAATGATTGCGCCAAAGCCAGGTTTACACTTGTTTTAATAACAGGCGATTCTCATCAGTATAGTTTTCATAAATACCCCTTTGTCTGTCAGAAGATAAATGACCGAGCGCCGAATTTTGTTGATAAAGTACTTTTAGAGGGGCTTAGAAAAATACTAGTTCCCAACAAATTTTGAAATATAGAGTCCATTTTCTTTAGGAATATATCCAAATAGGTTTGTTCCGTAGAATTATATGAGCTTGTCCGAGGAATTTTTCCGAGGAATTTTTGTGATACAAGGTGCCCTAATTCTTAAAAAGGAAAACCTGAAAACTACGCAAATTAATGGTCACAAAGTATTAAAGTGAAACCCGTATAATAATTTTTACTTCAAACATGTTTTGATTTGACTTTTTTTTCTTTTTAGGGATAGAGGTGACTGAACACAAAGAAATGAAAGGACAACATTGCATTAAGAACTTTTTTAAATGAGTAGCACCACTGCCAATGTGCAAATGTAGAATTATTAAAATTGATGCATTGAAGATCTTTGCGTTTTGTTTTTGTCTGAATAAGTGAAACATAGTTCAAAGTCAGACCTTGCATGCCTAGGTTCATGCTCGCAGTTTAAGCTATATAATGTTCAAATGAAGAGCACATTTGCCGACGGGGAATACATGCAGCATCGTTGAATCAAACAACCTGCTTAGTCTGTTTTAACTAAAATAAAATATCTTTAGCTTTTCATCTTCGTGTCAATATAGTATATATTACCATTACTGCCATATTGTTCGCCTGAGGAAAGACATTTCCATCCCCTACGCTACGAAGCCAGTATTGTAGCCAGCCCAAAGATATTATTCGTTAGATTGTATTCGAATGCTTCATAATATTTGGATGTTCATTCGCTGACTGAACAGGAGCGTAGTCGTAGAGCAAAAAATAATTTTGGGACTGTCTTATTTTTCTGAAGCGACTTTTGTATAGTGTTTGTATATTTGATGGGAAAAGCTAGGTATTGTGGACGTATACATGCCAATGCTATGATATATAGGGGAGCCTATAAGTTTTTGTAAAACCGAACCTATTTTCGCTTCGTGCAATTTGCATGGGTGCAAATTCTCTAAATAATTCCCAATTTTAGCGACTGAGATTGCCTCCTTACCAGAGTTTTATGAGACATATTCCGACCCCACATGTCGATCATTTTGGGTCACAATAGTCACATCACAATGAGTAACACCAACAATATAGTCACATCTCATCCTTTAATCTTAAATATATAGCTCCTAAATTCTGCTAAGGGGCAAATTACTCGAGGCTTTAGTTAGTAATGTTTCTTGACCTACTTTCTGTAGGATCATTCTCTCTATTTTTGAATTATATATGAATTCAGAAGCGGTATAACAGGGCCTTCGTCAGGAGAGTTAGTATTATTCGCTCCTGACGAAGTTATTATCTCCTGACGAAGGCCCTCAGGTCGAAACGTCAAGAAGTGTTCTGCATGTTCTTTTTAGGCAGTTGTTCTGCCACATTTGATGCTAAGTTGTTTGAAGACGCTGCCACGCTGCTCCCTGGTTATATTTTCACTATATACTCTGAATGATATACTTCCATTGCATGGTTATACTACATATAGTTATTCAGAATAACTCATAACTGAATATTTCAGTGGAATTTTAATAACCTTCGCACAAGCTCCCATTTCTTTTAGTCAGTAAATCATTACCAGATAAAGTTAGATAACGAAGACGAAGAAAGTCTTCATGGTTTAGTTGTTGGTATAAAAACAGTCCTATAATACTTTTACAGTTCAGTATAGTATATTACTCCTTCATCTCAAAGCTCTTACTGTTAAAAGCACTCATTGCTATATAAGTAGAATAAAGTCACAAAATCACTAACAAAGAATTTTGTATAATGTATTCTCCCAACCGTGCGGGAAAAAAACCTAAACTCGCTTCTATAAAAAGATGTACACTTTTGGTATTAAGTGTTTAAATCGGAAATTGTCATATAACGTGCTTGTGCGATATTGACTAAATGAATGGATTTCAATTATATTCAAAGTATAGCTCTTGATATTAAAGATGAAAATTACAAAGACATGATTAAGTGCAACATTTAATACTATATCGGCTAGAATATTGCTAAGTCACTGCATAAATTAGCATATACAGCGGATATAAAAGGGTCGAAAACAAAAGCTTGATAATCCAAGTTCAGAAGCGAGAACAGAAGACAACGATAAATCTTAAGAAGAATAAAGTGCAGAGATGAAGACATTGTATTTGTTGCTTGCACTTGGTCTGCTGTGTGCAGTGGTTTATTCAATACCAGTCGAAGAGGATGAACCTTTGGAAAACGAGTTGAAAAACGGTACAAATTTTAGCACTCTGAAGTATCATCTATCACAAAATTCGGTTTTTATTCCTAAGGAGATGGACATTAGTTTGAATTGTTAACCACGTTTAGTTCGACGTCAAAAGATCTCCTATAAAGTTTGCACGCTATAAAGTATAAATATTTCTCATTAATATGACAAAATTCAGGTTAACTAACTTTCCATACACGCGTTGTTTGATGAATTGTTTGAGGGAAAAAAATAAATCTCTTACAAAAGATTGCAAGATATTCATCCGCAACAACTTTCCGTGTGCATTAAGCAATAATGTTAGCAGTGAAATGCAATTATTGAAGTATACTGCACGCTACATTGTATATGGCTGTTATCATAATGGCTCTTGCATGGTACGTAGTCGTTAATCGAGATTGCCCAACAAACTATCGTCTGCATAATTAACAAAAGTCAAAGTATCAAGTATCCCACAAAATTCGCCATACAAATAGGCGTACGAGACAGTCAGGAAACGTGGGGCCGCAGCTCTCCCCGAATTGGGCGTACTCGCGAGTGTCGGGCATATATTTGTTCGCACGCCTTCCCCAAATAATTTTAAACTACTGCATACACCTTTGATGGAGGTTGTTACCAGTGCAAAATAAATGTTTACAATCTTCTGTAGAGAATGATGAAAATGCTGAAAATGCTCTGGAAGAAGTCGAAGAAGACGACAAAGACGACGAAGAGTATGTTTTATAAATGCCTTTTTAAATTTTATATACCAAGACATTTTTGCCTCGCGATCGTTAGGGAAGAGCCTATATTATAGAAGGGGCTAAGGCTCGATTCAGTAATTATTATTTTTATGTTTCCAAATAGGAGTTTTCATTTTTGTCAACAACAGCAGATAAGATGTTATATTTTATAAACAAGTAAATAAGAAAAAGAGAAACATTTCTAGATGAGACGTGGAATACCATTTCACGTGTACTCTATCCTAATTTATATTTTGAGTAACAGTGCAAATTTTCTTTGGCGCATTGTATTAGAGTGCATGTCAGTAAATTTTTAAATGCGCAAATTTATCATTGCAAACGCGAGGACGGAATTTATCATTGCAAACGCGAGAAATATAGTCCAAGATAAAGATTTAGCCATAATAATGTTTATGATCTCTTATAGTCTTGCACGGTGCGAGAATTCTAACAAACCCGGATATATAAATTGCGAATGCGCCAAGAATTTCTACGTTGACAGGCGGACGTATAGCAACTAATCGAATTACTTTCATTTTCGCCATACGTTTTCGATCAAACCACGCCAATATAGTATCGAAATGTTTGTGAGAACGAACGATGATGCTGAATTCGTTTTGTACTCTTAAGACTGAAAAGTATACAGCAAATGCAATGAGATACAATTATTGAGTACAATTCCAAGTTTTCCTCTGCCACGCAGCTACTTCGCGTCACAACACAACATATTATTTTAGCCGAATTCAAACCAATATTGCAAATTATTCATGGCAATGGTAGCACATTGAATTATGATAACGATTACCCAAACGTGCAGTTGTTCAACCTGTCCAGCCATTTATTATAACGAGGGGAGAGAATGAGGATGAAGATGGAGAAAGGAACCTTCCCTAAATGGCATCTTAAAATCTTCACTGAATACTCCCCGCACTGTTAGCTACCAATATCCTTTTTCATGAGAAATTAGAAATTCAGTATAATCAAAATTGTTATATAGGTGCTTTGTATTTTAAATCTGATTGGTTCATTCGTAGTCACATGACTTTAAATAAATGTAAGTGTTTCCCGCCAGGGAATCAAGTGGAAAATTGTTGCCCGCTTCTTGTCATAACAAAGTAAAGTGCGTTTTTTTTAAATAAAATTGTTGTGTAACATGTATGTTTTTGTTCCTATATAACAAAACACTTTATGTACACTACCTCGGAAAATAGTGAGTTTTGTTTTTCCTGGGAAACATTCAGACTCCGTACCATAAGTAAATAGTAACCGAAATAGCAGCCACTGGGATCTGTGACTCCTGGGATTAAAGTAAATATATAAACATTCAACTAGGAACTAGGTTAAGCTAAACAGCCTTCGTACAGGCTGATCGCTCTACGTGTCTTACAAAAAAAACTGCAATCTCTTTCTTGGGAGTTACTTTTTATAGGCCGTAAGTCCTGTGGGAATAAGTTTGCCAAACCGACCACTCATGATGTCGTGCTTTCAGGCACCATGGGTAACCTAGTTTATGGTTTGCATGTCATACAGAATATCACGTTCAAAAATGTGGAAAATATAGGTATACGGTTTTTTCAGTGACGAAACTCAAGCAGATCCTGGTAATTATTACCCTGGAATCCGATATCGTCGCAGATATTACGGGCGTAGATATTACGGACGCAAGTATTACGGACGCAAGTATTACGGACGCAAGTATTACGGACGCAAGTATTACGGACGCAAATATGGTGGGCGCAAATATGGCTGGTAACCACCAACATTATAAAGGGTAAATATGCCTCGTGATCATAAGTAATGCGCGTGTGACAAAGCCAGGTTTACAGTTTTAACGATCCCCGATCATGAGTGCATGATTTGCGGTGCAAAAAATATTGCTTGTAAGCTAGCCTCAAATTTCAACTAAAACAAAGTAACATGTTGCATTCCCTTTCCTGTTTAGGATAAAAGACTGGACACACCAAAAAGACTGGACAACATAATATTGAAACCTATAATTAGCACTGATCTCTTCAAACATGTAACTGGATATTCATTAAAAATCATGCATTAAAAATACTTGTGTTTTTTGCTATCGTATGAACTGACAAAACAATAGCCGTGTTTTCTAGGTTTAGCCCTGGCCTGCCCTGTTAGGAAATCTAGATTCATCAGTCATCATGACTTGTTATCATGTTTATCTACCAAATCTTTTTTGGCTCGTACTGACTGATATAAACCTGACTTGCCAGTGTTTGTGATAAAGGCAACGATCTCGACCAACCGCTTAAAATTTGATAATATTGAATATTATAATAAAACCATAATACTGCTTATTCCCCCAAACGTACCTTTCCTACATCTCTCAATGTTCTGGTCATGCATTAACGCGCTGCAACAGTACAAATCTACATACAGTACAAACTTACTATGGCGATTTGCTGCGGACCAAAAAAGTCCCCTAACAAGAATTTTCTGGGCGATTGAGGGGCCCACGCTTTTATCCTGATTCTCAATTATCACCAACAGTCGGCGATGTGTTTTTAGTGGTTTGCGAGAAAGAACATTTATTCAAAATGACTATTAAAGCACTTTATTCTTCAGTGACCACTGACAATAACCATCGCTGACTGTCGCCAGCCTATTGGGCGGCGCACACTAGAGTTATGTGCTTAGCAAAAAGTCATTCGTGGCCATTGGCGTAAGGCACTTGCTCTTGGTGCGGACGTCTTCTCCGACGACTTTGGTCATTTGTGCCACTTACGGCAAATATAAGCTCAGGTGTGCGCCGGCCTAACGCATTTCTGGTTCCGTCGGCCACTTCTAATGGTATAATTGACACTTTCGTCATGGTATAAAGATCAGGTCGGAACTTTTAAATTTGAGTTCCCACGCACCTACCATCATTACTCTGGCCAGTCAATTGACTAGACCTGTTTGCTACACCGTTGTAAAATGTTTGTCCGAAACAGCGTTTTCCTTTATACAATTATTAAAGACTAGCGAATACTACATGAGTGTCCCTACTGTCTATTCATCTAGAAAATGGTGTGTGTCTGTTCAAAGTATTTTTCAATTCGGGCGCTCATTGACTGTCATTAACTTAGTTAATCTCTCACTAATGCTGCTGGATTCCGCTAAATTTTGAAGTAAAGTTATAATAACAACAGTTTCAAGTGCGTTTGCCGTTCTTTATTCATTGTGTTCTTTCTGCTTTACTGCTCATGGGGAATCCCTTAATCATTAATTTGACATTGTCACTCATCATTCAAATTCCAAAACGAGACATGATATATAGGAACGTTGCACATCAACTTAGTCAATTCTTATCGCGGACACCACTGACGACAGGTCGAATAAAATTTCATACCCCAAAGTCGGAGAAATAAAACAAGCCAGGTTTGAAATTTATTTTGTTTCCATTTGTTAATAGGTTCTATCAAGAAACGTAATTAAAAGGACATATATAAAAGGCAGTATTTTTAGGAAACTATTTTTAAGACTCGTGCTCAGCTCCAAACGTAACAAATAGCAATCTAGTTTTGCCCTTAAATTTATTGTTAGTTGTTATTAGCTTCAAATATAAAAGGCGGCCAGAAGACTAGAAAGGAATGACTCTCGAAATCATAAACTAAGATTTAGTTGTTGAGTAGATTACGATCTGCCTGGTGTCAATAGATAATGGAAATATCACTACTGATCAAATACGAGTCAAAATATATATTTCTTATCAGTTTAAAGACGCTGTATCCACATCAACAGGTTGAAGCTGCAGTGACAATGGACTTTTATATCGTTCTGATTTTCCTTTTATGGTGCCAAAGACGGTAGGTGAAAAATTTTTATGCTTTAAATCTACAATTAACAATACGTACGCCCCACCCAGTAGCAATAATTGGATGCCAGATCTGTTGAATGGCTTTCTATAACTAAGAATTTTGAAAGCCTCAATAATAGCCTTCCATTGGTTGTCTTTCTGTATACATGCATTCTTTAGCGTCGTCTTAAACAGGGCATCTACGCTCATGTCCTCTTCTTCTTTTCTTTGTTTAACTGATCATTGCTAAAAGGATGAAGGGATTTGCACCATTGAGAACTTGAAGGATGTATGGCAGATGTAAATTAAATTGTTTTGCATAATGGAAGTTCATGCATCGTAAGAACAACTTATCATCGTGTGATTTTACATAAATCATAAATATCATCGTGTGATTTTACATAAATCATAATTATCATCGTGTGATTTTACACAAATCATAAATATCACGTTGCTTGGGTGTAGCAAGGTGCGTGTAATGATCCATGCCCACGTGATTAATATTAATTCGTGGGGGAGCTGAAGATTGTCGCAAAATGGCTCACTGTACCGCAAAACGCTGTTCTTCTTTTATTAATCTATTTAGCACCTGCGCGTCAATTTAGTCCTTGCTCAAACAATGTGCTTGAAGAAGGTGAGATATTAAACAACGAGTTGAATGAGCTTGAAAAACCGTCATGTGATGTCTTGCTTGAGGAATCAACCTATCACACCACAACGCTGTACAAGCTGCTCTACGGCTATGGCTGTATTCCTGAGGGTTGGGAAGATTTTTTCTGTCGCCAAAAAGAAACGATTAAGAGCATTTCTGATCAATTAGATGAAGATAAAGATGTTAATGAGTACGGTCTAAACCCTAAAATAGGTTGGGTGTTTAGGGCGTATAATATGGTCCCTCCAAATAAGGTTAAGGTCATAGAGTTAGGTCAAGACCCGGCTCCACAACCCGGCTTGGCTACTGGTCTTTCCTTTAGTCTTGATCCCAGTGTCCCTTCTTATGCGGTACCTAGTGTTCAGAGGGTGATATTGGAGGCCATGAATGAAGGATTTTGTATAAATATTACAAAAGGCGTTCTTTTTCCCTGGGCCAAACAGGGTGTGTTGCTTTTAAATACTGCGTTGACCTTAATCCCTAGAAAAAAAGGTTCTCATATAAAGCTCTGGAGATATTTCAGTCGAGAAATGTTAAAAAACATTAACAAAGTGGCCCAACCCTCCGTATGGATCTTGTGGGGAAGCAAGGCAAAATATTTCAGAAAATACGTTGATGAAAGCAAGCATTACGTTATCGCTGGCGGGCACCCCTCCCAGGGCAGACCCAAGGAAGTTCTTTTGCCAAAATTATTATTACTGCGCGAATAATTTCCTGTGCTCGGAAAAACGTGGCCAGGACTGGAACGTTGACTGGAACCTGGAACCTCTACTATGTTTCAAAAATGCCAGTTATATTTTTGCCCGAAGAAAGTATTATCCAGGATTCTACCTGAAGGAGCCATGTACGATGCAGCCATGTCCTGAGCGAGTGGTAGCTGCTCATACATGGCTCCTTCACAACGTTAACTCACCTCATAGTGACAATGTACAGAAAGGAGGCGACCATTGCAATACCGAAACCACTAGAATAAATAAAAATATAAATTTGGTTAGAACAAAAAATAATTGATAATAATATTGGTACGAAATAATAAAAGATAGTGAGGTATGTCAAGAAGGTTTGTGGAAACATCTACAAGAGGACTACGGATAGGCTTTGTTTGCTGTGAACAGGGGGGGGTGCCTCGACTCGAAGGGGGTGCAAATTAAGTGAAATCATTGGGAGCTCTGTTCACGGTGAAGCGATTCTAGCGTTGATATTCTTAAAATTTGTCTAATATGTAGGAATACTGCGTTCCTGGGAGAAGAGGATCCACCTTAAGCGGAGTGAAGGAGGGTGATCGTTTTCTCTGTAGTTCTAAATAAGGCCGTGATGACACGTATATACATCTATAACTATACGTACGCTAATATCAGCCACCATGAATTGCTGACATCTTCAAGAACCTGAAAGGAAGTGAAAATGCGCAAATTCAGTGAAAATCGTCTTTAATTTACCATGAATTGTCTAAACGGAATGAAACTTTAGAGGTTGAAAGTACAGTAGGAGGCAAAAGTTTGAGTCCAGTCGTTGTAGAATTCCAGTATTAAACCCTGGCAGTGTATTCGAGCTAAGACATGCGTATTAGTGTTTCAGTATTTTAACCATATTAATTACACACTGTTTTGGTCCTAATGATCTAAATTATAACAAAATAAAGTTCTTATTCCTTTACACTGCCCAAGATGGGTGGGAAAAAGGGCAAAGTGATGGTGCATAAGGACAAATAGTTGCATTAAGTATTGAAGGATTCTTTCCTCGCAAGATCGCAGAAAAAGTGAGAATTTAAAAAGGTGGTATGCAACTAACCTTGGAGAGGTTCGAAGAAACTAAATCCTACTCAAGCAAACTTTTAGCTTCTTCGGTCATGCTCGGTTTGGCAATATTGAAATATATAATAGGATCCTAATTAAAGTAAAGTATCATCCAATTCTTCAAAGACATGGAATTTCATCTGGTACAAGGATGATCGCGTGTCTAACTACATGATAATCCCCCTAAACACCTGCACATCTTCTATGTGCCAGAAATCTTTTAGAAGCAAACACGTTTTGGTGCTCTCGTTCTCATGGCTTTCCACCTCAAATTCCAGATCTGAAACCTATCGAGTACTTGTAGGACCGTTTTAACCGGAAAAGGGCGAGGCACAGGCCCGCCAGCCAGAATGACTTGAGACAAGTGGTCAACGAATGCTGGCAAGGTATTAAACGTGCGACATTAAAAAACCTATGGAATCTATACCAGCAAGAATAAACGTCATTTCAAGAGCAAAAAAGAGGGACACTAAGCATTGACATGAAATGCATTTTTGCACATTAACATACGTAAAATGAATATCATAACGTCTCATAGTTGTTGTACAGCATCTATTTTTCTGTTTACTCGTGTACTTTTTTGTAGTTCACTTATCGGTAAGGTTTTCTGTAGAATATTAATATATGCTGCTAAAACAATGAAATACAGTCACTGGACTCAAACTTTTGCCTCCTACTGTATCTTAATTTCGACTGGAATTATACACACTTCAAATTCAAACCAAAGACAGTTGATGGAAAAATGAGTCAACTATAGGTCCTCCGACAGGAATCGAACCCACGCTTTTACGATGCCGGTGCAATGCTCTTGCCACTGAACTACTGAGGTAGCTGACAAGAGCAAGTGGTGGTTAATGTGTATATGATGGTAATGCCAGGATAGGTGAGGGTAAATCAATTATGATTTTTAGCACTCACTCGATGACCCTTTGAACCTCTAGAATTTACCTGCATCGAGTGAAGTGCCAAAAATCATAATTGATTTACCGGAACGAAAGATTAGTTGATTACAAACGACTGAAACGAGACCTGACTGATATCATACAGCAGGAAAACAGCAAATTCTGAGCAAAAGCAACACTGCAAAATAACAATACCAACCTTCAAACCAGCATTTTGCAAGTCAATCAAGGCTTGAACAACCCTACAAAAATATCGTACCATATTGTCTTTGCTTGCATTGGTATTTTCAAAACAATATTTTTTTAATTATAAAAAGGCAGATAACGTACTCTGATCCTTCCTCCAGCTCTGTTGTTGTTACATTGAGCTCTTTGCTATTTTTTAATGCTTTTTTATCAGAATCCAAGATATCTTTCGCTGTACTACCAAACACTGTTGGAATGCAACGGTGCAAAACTGAAACAAATATACATATTCTACATATTTTTTAATTTCCTTTAAAAAGACATTACGGTATTACATTATTAAACCTTGTGATGAATGTTTACATATTTCATGTACAAATGTGAATGGAAATTGTCACAATATATAATCAATCTAAGTTACTTACATCAACCTGGGCATCACATGGTTCAATACCAGGTTGAATGACATATCCTTACAAGATATGTCAGCTCCAAATGAGTTTTCCGTTGGGCATTTTGTCACACAAACCTGAAGAGAATGACGTGTACACATATCGCAGTTATGAAAGCAAAATACTGACAAGGTTAAATCACCAGTTGACATAATAAATTTATGTAAATGTTTGCCTTCTTTGTATTCAAGAAAAAAATTTTCTGTCTCTATCACATTGTATACATAAGGTGACATCAAGTTGAAAATTTGACTGCTCCATTTTTGCAGCACAATTCAATGGTTTATTGTTATAGTTTACTTTCACTGCATGTTTCTGCAGATGATGTGGAGAGAACATCTATCTTACTCTTACTACACAGACATGCTTTAGCAGGGCACAACTGAAAACTGCTTTTGAAATGTAGCCTCACTGGGTAAATACTGCTACAATAATAATAATAATATACGCTAACTATCAACTGACATTAGCATACAGCAACCCACTCTATGTACCTTTGTGGTAGGACAGACATAATTCAGGCCAGAAAAGGCTGATATTTGAAAGATCTGTTGGAACACATTCAGTCAGATAAAAATACAACAATTTGGGTTTGTCTCTGGAAAACTAAAAAATTACAAAATATTGGTTATTCAAAAAAAATTATAGGTTAAAAAACTGACAATTATATGTATATAGTAAAAACAGTAGAAATTTCTAAAGAACAAAACCATTAATGAAATATTTTATTAAAAAAAAGAACTAGACTCAAGTTACATATATATATAGTGAGAAATAGTTTAACATCATGTAAAAGCAAGAAATCATTAGAATAAAAATGGAACAAGAATGTGCATATTTACATGCACATTCATTAAAGGAGGACACATGCAGTTCTTTGCTATTTACAGACTTACAGTGGTGGAGTATTTTCAATAACTTACTTATAATCTCCAGTCCCACAAATTTTGCCTAGTAAAGGAAATACATATTCGGGTAACAATATAAAAAATGTTTTAAGTTGCATATATCTGCACATCAATGTGAGTTTATACTTAGCATGTACCAAAAATGTAAAATTTACCTTCAGAATTAACAGGATGAATGAAACGATCTGGATTACCCCACAAAAATGCTAAAATATGCAGAGTGAATTTAGTATTTAATAGCTACCGGACTAGATTTTCAGCTTCACCAGATAGAGTAATCTTTTTGGACTGAAAATTTTAAAATCAAAATACAAGCCTATTATATATTGCAGGGATTTTTAAAGTTGACTGTAAATTAACAGAGAGACACTACTGGGATATAAGTATAAATGCTTCTCTAATATTGAAGATATAATTATAGGGCTTCAATCATTCTTTGATAATTTAAAAATCATTGACATCTCAAAATACTAGAATGTAGTAAGTTTTCATTATTTTTAATATTAACAAAAAATAATTTATACCTAATATGCCAACAATAGCCATCCCAACAAAAAAAAAACTCCTAACATCATGATAAAAAACATAATATTATATGATAATTAATTTGCATCCCAATTATAATATTGAACATTAAGAAATTTCTTACAAATATGGTATGCTACTGTAGGTCAGACACACACCTGTCTTTAATGGTGCCATTGAATTGTGGGTCAAACTGTCTTGATCTGCCTAAATTGAAAAAATACAGTTTTAAGTTTGTGTATGTAATTCGTAAATGTGAAAATACGACAAAGAGTTGCCAACCTTATATCCTAGGTAGCCCAAAGGTATTTGTGGCAACCAGTTTAATATCGCGGTCTGTGACACCAATTGCTATATTTGTATTATAATAAGATAAGGTTGGCAACTAAATATAAATTAACGACATACACCCTCAAAACTATCGACAAAAAACATTGAAAATATGCAACATAACTCACAAAAAAAATCATAACAATAAAATTTGATGTTTTTAATTGCTCCCCAGTACATTTTCTTGTTGAAAACAACTCTAGAAATACGAAAAATTTAGCGATACTTTTCGTGTTGCCATGGATTTTTTCGCCGTAACGATGCGGGATGTCTTTTGCCTAGCGCTGGTTTTCCATTCAAATGGCGAAGCAGCGACCTCATTGGCTCTTAAAATTGGAGAACACCAATTTAATTATTCGCCAATTTTAAGAGCCAATGAGGTCGCTGCTTCGCCATTTGAATGGAAAACCAGCGCTAGGCAAAAGACATCCCGCATCGTTACGGCGAAAAAATCCATGGCAACACGAAAAGTATCGCTAAATTTTTCGTATTTCTAGAGTTGTTTTCAACAAGAAAATGTACTGGGGAGCAATTAAAAACATCAAATTTTATTGTTATGATGTTTTTTGTGAGTTATGTTGCATATTTTCAATGTTTTTTGTCGATAGTTTTGAGGGTGTACGTCGTTAATTTATATTTAGTTGCCAACCTTATCTTATTATAATACAAATATAGCAATTGGTGTTTACGTCACAGACCGCGATATTAAACTGGATGGACGCTTTAGATTAAAACACAAATAGCTTTGGGCTACCTAGGCTTATATTAATATATACATAAAGGTTACACTGCACCGCACGAATTGGCGCCTGCGATAATATGTCAGCAGTGAATGAAGGAAGGGACACTTCATGTCGTTTTGCATAAAATTTATTTAATATTTAACTAAAAGCAAATCCAATAGCGGGCTACCTGTGGAAATACTGTATAAAATATGGAGACGCACGGTTTTAATAATACAGTAAATGTGTATTACGTTATTCCTGTCTCGTTATTCATGAAACATTAGTACTTTGTACGCGATCTGCAATTCATTATGTTTCCTTTACGTTTTCAGATGTTATATGAAAAACGTGTACATATTGTCATAGTTTCCATGGTTAGTCGTTAATTAATGATTCGAGCAACAGGGGGAGGCGTAGGCGTAAGCCGTTTGAAAAACTTGGACCGTCTACACTTTACATAGTCTATGACGTTCTTGCCGCTTTACACCATTACCCGACAGATTTGGAACCGGTATAATTTTTTTTCAGTTTTGGCACTCCGTTGACACGCAAACAACTAACTGTCGTGTGAATATTTAAAAAAAAGCAAAAGGGGGATGCTAAATGACTGAAGAACAAACACATGACGTTCTTCATGACGTCAATTACGACCATAGATACACAGCAAAACACAGAAGGCTATTTCTAGAGGTCAAATTGGGACCAATCAGTGCCTTTCGCTCTTGTCCATACCGGTTCAGATGCCAAAGTAGGATTTTTCTGGGGAGTGAGCGATTTGAATGGGGAGGGGGAGGCTTTGGTGAAGCCAGTCACGCCACTACGGTTGGCGTCGACAGAAAAATGTTTAATCATTCACCAGCGCAGATAATATTATTGTAATTTATCTGCATCGTCATTCAGCGATAAAAACAATCACACGATAAAATAATGCTTGTAGAAGAGTGTAGTTTATTCCATATTTTATGGCGTGCCTTCAGGACACACATATATATATACTGATAAATAGCTCTATCATTCAAATGAACAATCACTCATTGCTCATCAATTTCTCATAAATTTACATAAATTTAATACTGTATTTATACTGTTTTTCATTTTACTGCGTTTTCTTTTTTTTTTGCTTTTTTATTTTGCTCTTGGGTATAATCTGGACGCTGGCGAAGGTGTTGAGACGTAATCAGCTGGATTGAAAAACGGTACGGCGGGAGACGATTGGGAATCCTGAAAGGAAAACCACACTCAAGAATTATTCCTCACTTAGGAAAACATCCTGAGGATCATATCGAAACAGAAAGGGTTCCTATATGAGTGACACTTAACACTTGAACTAATGGTTTTAAGCCTTGAACATAAAGGGCAATTTTGTTTATCCCGCCTTTCATGCATCTTACGTACAATTTTAAGATAACTGGCAAACCTAGTCACACCAAAAGATGGAAAGATCCAGTTAAACGCGATCATGAAATAACGGTAACCCTATTCTTTCATTTACCTGCGAGTTAGTCGACTGTTCCTCCACAGTTTTACTGGCTACTCTGCTCTGGTCAACGCCGTTGCTCTGACTGTATATAAAACAAAGAACAACATTAGTACCTATTTTGTTTGGATCCATACAATATATCTACCCTATACTACATCACTATTTAAGAATACTCTTCACAGATATTAACAAGACACTGCAAAGAATAACAAAACTGAATCGTTGGATTTGAATCTCGCTCGTTTTGAACTTTCTTGTCAACAGAAATATTAAACATCGCGTATCACGACGTATCGCTAAATCAAAGTGGTATTTTGACATACCTAGCTGGCGGCATCGCTGATCCTTCAGTATTCGACAGAATGTCTAAGAATAGTCGAAAAGTTTTGTAGTTAGTGATGTATAGTTGATAACACTAGGCTACTAGGTTTAACCGTGTAAGTAAGGGATTTCGTTCTTTAACACTTACTGCTTGCTATTGGTGCCTGATTCCCTGGTGGTGCTGGAAACGGTTGGGAAAGGAGCGGTGACGCGGTTTCGTTAGGTTTCGTCGTTGCCCCTGAGGCACTCAAGACATCAACATAGTTCGATCTACGTCCTGAAACAACAGTTCAAAGTTTAAATGTATAATTCTAATCCAAACAATCTGGAGTCTCTCAAACTATAAACAATCTAAAAGACAGGATAGTCTATGCTCAAACCAAGCCATAATCCTATCGAAATCTCCGCTCTAATCATTATTAACATATTTTAGATGATACCTTTCGAACTGAGAGCTCTACGCGAAAATCGGCTGGGTGTCGATAATGGTGAATTAATCAACGATATTTCTGGTTGATCTGGAGTGACACCGCCAGGAATGATTGGTGGAGCTTTTGCCGCTGGAGGAGTTTGCGACGCTGATGAAGCCTGGGATGCTGGAAGTTGCGGTGTGTTTGAGAAACCGGTAGCTGCACTCGATGTGCCTAGACAAAGGGGAAGTCAGAGGTGGTTATAGCAACATAACAATTGTACGATACAGCTTTAGATACTCAGATTATATTTTCCCTTTCCCAAATATAATGCAAATATAAATCTTATTAGCACTATCTTATAATTCAAAATTAGGCTTATGAGGTCTGTAGAAATGAAGACGTTGAATTCTTGAAAGATGTGATTTGGGATCAGACTTGTAGATGGGCCTGGGTACTTTACAAGTCGACATTACAAATTGCTTACCAGATGTTGGTGTAGGTTGTCCAACAGTTCCTGATGGGATTGTAGGCATGACAGGTTGGGCACCGCCAATCAAAGATGGATCAATTGGTGGTGGAGGCAAGTCAGCTTTCTCCTGTTTAATGAAGGAACAAACATTAATATCAGCTTTATGCATTGTGAAGAAAGAAAACTACAAAACAAACATTTAGCCATGTTTTACATTACCTCTTCACCTTCTTCCGTGTTCACCCACTTTCCTTCTTTTTCGTCCCAATAGATCTAAACAGTAAACATATACGAAACTTTAAAAACAATAAATAATAATGTAATATATATTTTCGTAAACAAAAGCTAAAAGGCACATATTCGAAACCAAGGCACCATAACTTACAGTTTTCTTCTTATCGTCAGGTAAGATAATCTCGTTCTTGCCTTTGGGAATGAAAGATTTGAAGAAACCGCCGAATGACGTAAATAATCCCTAAATAAAATGCAGTCAAAATTTCATTGGTTTAAGCATTGTCTAAAACAACCGCCCCTAACACACAATATAAACTAACAATTAAACTTGCTGAAACATCAAACTATAAAACAAGACCTCAGAAAACACAGAACATGTTTCGCTCATATGGTCAACAACTAGCTCAATACGATTACTGTTTCTCAATTCCGGGTTGATTCAGAATCTTCAATTTGAAACTGTAGAAAACTTACGCCACTCTGTTTCTCCGACTTCTTGCTATCGTCTTTCTTAGTGTTTTTCTCTTCCTTGGTCTGGGCCTGAGTTTCTTCCTTTTTTGCGCCATTTGCAATATTTGATTCCTAAAAACGATTTTGCAGAAACTAAATATTAGTAACGTACTCTCGTTAAATAATTAATATCCTATGCTTACTCGGGTCTAAATTGTTCGAGTAAAGGCCCTATTCATCTAATGTTGGTGCAAAGATCTCTCCATCATACTGAGTTTAATCTATTCCAAATGAGGTTACTTGGATATCTGGGCAATCTAGGTACATTACACTTACCCTGAAGTTAGATTGAGCGTAGTAATCAAAACCATTATCTGAAGTCGCAGGCGCTGAAATTCCACTTGTTTCGACTGCGTTAAAACTAGCATTACTCGGCTGCTTCCGTAGCAAATGCTCAAAAGAGTCCCCTTCGTAGAAGTTTGTGCCAGAACTTGGTAATCCTGTTTTATCGTGCTCTATGCTGCTCGGAACTGCTTGTGCAACATTTTCATAGGGGTAATTCTCCGGTGGAAAAGTTTGGTCGGTGGGAGCAACCCCGTAGGTGTAATTCCCTTGCGATGGTACTGGCTCTTGAGCTTGAAATTCCCCGGTGTAGGACATGTTGCCACTTGGTGCAGCGGTGGGCTCGAATTGAGCGAAACTCTGAGAAGCTTTGTTGTCCTCGCGATATAAAACTTGTTCCTGGACTATGTCACTATTTGTTTGAGGAACAAACATTGTAGGTACCATTGTAGTGGAATTCTGAACTTCTTTATTATCAATGTTTTGCGTGTGCTCATACGGCATTTCCTGTGGAAGTTGCGATTGCTCAGGTAGTTGCTGCGCCAATGTTTGCCAGCTGCTGGTAGACAGGAACGAGCGCCCTAAGGTTTCGTTGTTTACCTTAAAACACAATTTTTTAACACGCCTTAGAAACGTTTCGCATGGAAAACTGCAAGCATGCTTCCAGGAAAGCATCAGTTGGCGTGTCCTCACAGAAACGACGCTGTCTAATTGATATTAGGATCGACATAAAAATCAAGTAAAATAAAAATACACTTCGTACCTTGAGTAGATCTAACAATTGTTGCAGGCGTCCGTTCATATCTAATAACGGCGCAATAAATTCTCGTCTGTAAAGTCTCATGGATAACTGTAGGGAAAGAAAATTTGAGCATCAAACGATTTCACCATGTGTATATCAGGTTGTATCTGTAGACCATAAGCTATTCAAAATTTCAATATTCGCTTTTGATTTCTTGATGCGAGCGAAGGCTAGAACAGGCCTAAAACGTGATTAGGGCGAAGCCTAAAATAGGCCTAAAACGTCTATGTTAAACAAATATGCGTAATTTTACTTGAGAACGGGAACGAAAGATAAGCCGAGAAATGATGTCATACCGCATGAAGTCGCGTTATCATATCTTTAGTAAAGGATGTTGAATGCTTCAAGACATCATCTACCAATTTCTCGCAATAACGAAATGCCTAAATAAGACAATGCACGCGTGTTAAATCAAAGATTGTGATGGCTGTGGAGTAACACCGCAAGTCAACCGAAGATATATGAATTACTAACTTTATTATGGAATCCGGCATCTGCCAATGAATGGACGTACAATTCTTTCCATGGCTGAAAAAAACACAACGTTAAAGAATGTGCAACCAAGGTTCAACTCCAGGACCAACCAAGCATAGAATTATCTTCTGATCTCAAAAAATCTTATTCTATAGAATAGATACCCCCACAATTTGCGGAAACGTACACAAATATTGAAATACGAAGTAAAGTGAGACGCTGAATTGAACAACTTATGCGGCACTTCTGTGTTTTTCAAAGTTCAACATTAGAGAAATCTACAATGAAGTAATTTCTAACCTGGAAATCTTTTATTATAAAATTTTCATCTTTGAGGCTCATAGCGTATTCATATATCTACAGAAACATGTTGTTGGTTAACAGGAATATACAAACACAATACCTTTTGACTATTTTAAACACTGATTTTATACCACATGCATGTATCAGGCAAAACGGGTGAATATTTAGGTCGCCTTGCCAGGCACTGGCAAGCAGAGTGGAAATAAAGCAATAAAAATGCATAAATAAAGAATAAAGGATTTGCATAAATAAATGCATAAATGCGTAAATAAATGCATAAATAAAGAATAAAGGATAAGCATGTCTGCGATCTACCTCTGTGCGTTGAAGAGCCAGGAAATCCACGAATTCTGGTCGGATTTCACTACAGAAAATAAGAGTTTAAGTTTGTGAGAAGATGAACCATGAACCCTTATGTTCATTAAACAGACAGACAATGCGACTCTTCAACTTACTTCGAAGAATAACCTAGTAACAGTGTGCCACTCTGTTTACTAATTTCTTCCCCTGCTAATATGTAGCAAAGATGAGCTGCTTCAATCAGGCCACGAGACTCTGGAAAAGAGAAAGTAACATTTTGCATGATAGCAAAAAACGCAAGCGGTAGGTCGTGGATGCATGCATGCACCTAAAATGTCTGGAATACCCAGGAAAACAAGAATCTCTTGAAGGAAACATTGCCAGTGTTCCTGGCGACTTGTTTAAGCAGTTATCACCGTAGGTGAAAATGCATTAACTTGATCACGCATACTACAACGTAGCTTGGATTTTGATATTGGTCAACACCTACCCCCCCCCCCGGCCAAATTGCCATTCCTGGCTTATCCAAACTGAACTTACCTAAGCTCGCGCCAAGCGCATGAATATTTTCGCTATCTTTAGCGGTTGACTTGGATGGATTTGAAATCATGATTGCCAAATGTTTTCTCCATCGCCTTGTCTTTTTCTAAATTTTGATAAAAAAAAAGATAGGATATAAAAGACTTTAGATTTATATATTCTACGTGAACTGTACCGGGTTTGTGAACCACATTGGTCCACGATCTCGCAGGGGTTAATCCAGAAAAGATAATTCTTCAAACTCACATCTAAAACTGAAGGTCGCTTAGACCCGAGATGCTGATACAAACACAACAAGGAATCGTCCTCATCGAGTTGACTGTTGAATCTATAATAAGCAATGAGAAAAAGCATTGGAAAATATAGTGACACATGTACAATATGGAAAAATAGATATTTGCGAGCAGTTAGGAGAGATCAAGCAAGAACACAATTGAGAGAAACGTGTAAACAAGTTGCAAACGTGTAAACAACAAGTAAAATAATTCAAATATAGCAAGCAAAGAATAAATGTCGTTACCTTTCCATGATATTCGAAAATACATTCTGGTCAGTGTGGTATGCTAACATCAAGGCGTGGCCCCAGATCTTGGAGTTTACTGCGTGTTCCAGAGCTTCCTATGGAGGGAAACGAATGAATGAAAAAACATTTGTATTGTTCTCCACTTCGCCGCGGCTATAAATATATAGCTGGAATTCACGAGTAACTATAACCTCGTATATAACGGCCAAACTGTTTGCACATGCATCGTACCTGTGTTTTGCCAGCCAAAAGAAGCTCTCGATATGTCGCGACTTGATCATGTTTGGAATGATCTTGCCCATCAGCTGCAAAGGATACCCTTTGAGAGGTGGAAGAACTACGTTCCCGTCTTGTATAAGAATCCTCGGGTAGGTCCGAGGTTAGCACCTCCGCAATATCGGTGTTGAGGTACACCTGGAATAAAGATCGCAGTTCAAGCAATGAAGAAAAAGCCAACAGAAAGAGTTAAAAACTCGGCATATTCAAACGTAGATTACTTGAGAAATTATTTTGATCCAGTGCTTTCAGACTGTTTAAAAGCGAACTAATCACACAATCTTTATCATTTTTATGCGTGCAGAAAGACTGAATGTTGTTCTTACCCCATTTTGTTGGACCATAACAGCCAACACTTGCCAAAGAATGTAGCCAGCCTCGCGTTTTTCAAAAGAATCGCTTTGGTTGTTGAAAGCCATCATGGCCATCTCTTTGGCATATTTTACAACATCCCGTTTATGGGTTTTGCCCCTGTGAAAAAAACAGCAGAATAAAACATTGAGTATCACTTTTTGACATTCTTGTCGTTAAATTTTGTATGCTTTTCAGCTTTTCAAATGAAGAGTTATATATAATACAGTCTTAGGGTCGAATAATTCAATATCAATCACATCCTGGCTCCAGAAATGAAATGGTCTTAAACAAGCCATTATTTTGGCATTTTACCTGCAAAGTGGTCCAGGGAAATTGCGCATCGCCTCATTGAATTTACCTTCGCTCTGAATAAAGGAAGATCATATGCGTCAATTTATACTGTGGAGTATTATAGGTATGTCTCATGTGAGTCATGTTGGATGAACCTGTCAATTGACAAGGGATAACCAACCTGATTGATTAGAGCAAACGCTTGCTGTTTCTGATCTATCTGATCTCCCTGGAAGTCAAATAATACGCTAGTATTGGTCTTGGGTGTAATATTGTTACTAAAAATCTACAAATAAGGCTTAGACTAAGCTAACATCAGTTCTATATCACAAAATTGCTGTCTCCGCTGTTATTACACAAACTATACTGACTATCTCTGACATTGTCTCCCGCAAGAAGCCTAGAACAGTATTAAAGTGTCGTCCTCGTTGTAGTTATACGTACAGAAATAGTTAATATGACGTATATGATTACCTTGACATCAGTCAAGTGCACTTCAGCAGTCTCACCATCAAGGACTTGTCTGGCTGGAGCCACCACACTCAATCGAGAGGCGGTTGAAAACGCTCCAACAATATGAGGTTTCGTATGCTGCTTCGGGGTTAGTCGTTCAGGAGTAATTACTACAACATTGGAAATATATTTACGATTTTAGCTAAGGATTAACAACCACGTTTCTTAGGATTCCAGCTTGCTGGAAAGACCTCCTGACAGTTACCGAACGAGGGATTCCAGTGCAGTACTATAAAGGTAACTACAAGTTTCTGATGATTTTGAAACTTTGGCCTTCTTATTTTTGATATCTCGCCAGGCTTCATCCACCACTATTTACTACTCTACTTAAATCTTACCCCGTTCAACCGTATCTTCAGCGGTGATTGCACTACTCTGTTGTTGCTTGTTTTGGTCATCCCACTTGATGCTGTCTCCCAGAGAGTTTGATGTGGATGAGCTGTAACTTCCTGAGCTCAATCGTCTTGAGCTACGAGATGATTGGTGACTTCGACCATAATAGTCTTCGCCTCTGCGATAACTGAAAGGGAAATATTGAGAAGGTCGACTTTAGCGCTCGACGACTGCACAAAAAGTATTGTAAACAACTTTGTCATTCATAACAATACGTTGCAAGCATTATTACTTTTCTTTCAATCATAAACAAATGTAGAACTATAAGCCATGAAAAGCTTTGGGTCAGTAAGGACAATATCTATATGTCCAATTTGGAATGGAACCTTGTAATTTGCATCAAATCGTTCTCGAATGCAGTGAAAGTTAAGAACTTACGAATCTTCATAGTCGTAGACCTTTCGTTTCGAGTGACGGTTGTTACTTCGTTGAGCCCGCGAGCTCGACCTTGATGAAACTGAACGTGGAGACTCGGCGCGAGATGATCGTCCTGAACGAGAATCACGCCGCTGACTATCACCACTGGACCCGCTAGAGCCAGACACCCCGCGATGGTAATCCCGATCATAAGAATCACGATAATATTTATCATAATATGCTCGGTCGTTGTAGTCTGTTCGTCTTCTACCCTGGCTCTCTCTTCTTCGCTCACGATTGCGACTTCTTCTCGAGTCAGATCTGTGATATCGTTGATCATCATACTGGCTTTCTCGCCTGCTGCTTGAAACAAATAGTTTGTATGAGAAATACTGTTGTCTGAATTCAAACCACTTCTGCAATAAAACAGCACTTACTTCTCTGCACGGATCCACCGTTCTCTTTTGAAAGACCAGAACCACTTTCTTCTCTCATCATAATATCGATTGCATTCCTCCTCTGAATCAAAATCTTCATACTGTGTATCAGTGTTGCCATGCTGCTGCCATTGATCAGTATCGTTGGTTGAATACTGTAGATTAACATTGCTGCTAACTTGCTGTGGGTATTGCCCGCTAATTTGCCTACAAATGAGAGATTACTTTAGTTGAACACGAGAGGATAATGTGCGATCAATTTGGTTTTTAACAAATTTCGCCAGTAATTTCATGATCTCGTGAATGTGCTTGCCAGTTCGCCTAAGCAGTCAATTAGTCTTAGTGCAAGAAACATTGGCTTCTACGTGCAATATTGTCTATTACTTTACTACTGCTTTCGGTGGCTTGTAAGGTGGTTTTAAGAACTCATTTACCTTTCCACTTTTTGATGTTGAATATTTTGCTGGTACTCCTGTGCCTGCAACTGTTGTTGCTGCTGCAACTGTTGTTGCTGTTGCAACTGTTGTTGCTGCTGCAACTGTTGTTGCTGTTGCAACTGTTGTCGCTGTTGCAAATTATGTTGTTGAGTAAACTGATTCGGTTCAGACCTTTGTCGCTGTACGTTCATGTGTGCTCCTCGCAGGTGCTGATTTTGCGAGCTGACCTCATCTTGAAACAGCATTTGTTCGTACTGTTGTTGCTTGTACTGCAATTGTTGCTGTTGGTATAACAACTGATGCTGTTGCTCTTCACTCGAGGAAACCATACCTTCACTCTGGCCAGAACCATAACCAGCACTGGTAGCAACAGGATGACCAACATGACCATCTGCGCCACCATACTCAGGGACCATTCCCCCACCACTACCTTCACGCATCCGAGCATGCTCGCTCTGAGGCAACCCGGTACGCACTGCAGAGCGGCTGGCGTCAGGGTGCGTGAAGGAGTTCTGGGGGAGACCGGTCATGGTCCCAGAAGTATGGGCAGTCTGTTGCAAGTGCTGGTCAGGAATCTGGTTTGAGGAAGAAATGTTGTTGACTACAGGCGCTTGGATGACATTTGGCCTAAAAAATTAAAAGTATCAACAGTCTAGTCCGTTAAATTGAAACCTAAATAAATAATTCGCCCCCAAGAAACACCATGAAAACTTTGTACTGAATGGGTTTTAATCCGTTTACGCCGTTTATTAATAGGTTACACTAGCTCTGTTTATATTCATTGGTTATGTACTTGTTAATATCGGCATTACATTTAATTTTTAATGTAAAACGTTAATTCTACAACTTGACTCTTAATTTTAAGCTCTTAATGAACGCTTAATTTTAACATGCTTTCTCTTAAGCCAAGAGTCGTCCACGTTGACTCCAACGTTTTAAATGACGGTTAATAAACGCAGGTTACGAAGAATGAATATTAATACCGAAGAAACAAATAATAAAGACAACAAATAGCTAAACAATTTAAAAATTATGAAATGCGTGCACAATGTCTTGTAAAAACCTGCGTCTACCCTGCTGACACTTCTGCCGCTCTCTATACATCCTAGAATTTTACCAATCTTCCTATATTCTTTACGTTAACTAAACAATTACTGAACAATTACTGAAATCTCAGATTATTGTTACTTGTTAGATTATGGTTAGTAGTTTGAGATTTTGGACCATCGTGAGACAATAGTTCCTTAGTTTGTGCGCGCATTTGAAAACGGATTTCGAACGAGGTTTAAAAAATCACTATTCTTAGTAGAGAACCATACTCACCGTTGGATATTTCCTCGGTTAAGACTAGATGGCTTGTCGATCACATCATGAACAGGGTTTCCACTAGCGAGTTCTTGATTTGAACTTGAAACACCAAGTGAACTTTGGCGACTAAGACTGGATGTTGAGTCACAATCACTTCTCTGCGAAGCAGCTGCTAACAGGGTTTGCTGAGCGGCGCTGGAGGCCACAGGTGGATTTGGCAACTTTGATGGAGTACCACTGAATCGATTACGATTCTGTGTGAAGCCAGGAATACCCAGATCTGATGGCGCGACATTAGAACGTGGTTGCTGCGATATTTTGGCATTATGGTCGATCGAAATACCGCTGGAACTTGGCGGTTGGCCATGCACATTCATAGCTCTTTGAGAACTGTTGTCGAATCCATGGCGATTAAGTTGGTCATGGCTGGAAACTGGAACAAACTGATTTCCACGATTCCCTTTTTGGACAATAAGACCAGGTATGGCCAATTGAGGATCATTGTCCCAGAGAGAAGTATGAATTTTAGCACTTTGAATTAAAGCTTCCTTTTTCTCGCGCTGTACTGGCGAACGAAGCGGAGATTCTAAGTGTCGAACTCTTTCTTCGTAGTCTTGGGACTTCGGGGAGTTTGGCTTCACTGGCATAAAGGCCGACGGATGCTGGTTCGGGTCGACGGTATCCAGTTGTTGCCTCCCTTTGGTCTCGGACGAAGCAATAGTTGCTTTATTGGTGTTCTGTGGTGTCATACCAACAGGAAACATGGTAACCGAAGCGCCCAAATGTTGACTGGAGTATGGTTGCTGGTTCCCCGATGTTAGGTCATCATTGGAGATGATGGTGCTTGTGTTAGCCGGAGGTGTATCAAATTTGGGATCACTTGTATTGAATGAATTCACGCGCTCGTGACCAAATCCTGGAACTTGCTGGTGACCTGACAGTGAATTACCATCACGAGATTCATCGTCACGAGCGGACATGGTGTCCAAGTTGGGTAAACCAGGTTCAAGATTAGCTGAACCGATAGTGCTAGCACCATGGTTACCAAATTGTGCTGACTGATCGTTTGACGATGGGTGAGTATAAAAAATCCCGTTGGACTTTTCACCCACATCAATAACGTCCCACTGAGTTGGTTCAGCCTTGACATCGTCGCTTGATGCCTGCGAACCAAATGGCTGAGTAGCCGGTTGCCATGCTGTTTGATGGTTATTGGGCAGTTGTTCTTTACTAGTAAAAGGTACCATGCTGCTTGGTCCCAACTGCGGTGTATCAGGTTGTACAACGTCTGAACGTAAAGCCTGATTATTTTCCTCGTTGTTTATAGAAAATCCAGGCTGAGACGCTTCAGAATTAGCGGTATTATCAGACGTGAGGGATGGAGCAAGTTTCCTTTGTGCCGACTGGGTTTCTCCAGGATTACCTGCCATTGGTGCATACGATGAAGATGTCGGAATGGATTTCTGTGCCGCAGATTGGTTCTCAGCTAGGTCCTCTGTTGACGTCCCAGCACCAGCTGGTGAAAATAGATGAATTTGATTCTGTGCCAAGAACTTTTGGCCGTCTTCCATAAAGAACCCTTGACTTGGAGCGGCAGGTTTAGTGGCTGGGAAAAGATTGTGCCCAGGAGAAAAACGTTCACCAACATTGTTGTTGGTGGTGTTCATCATCTCTAAAGATGGCGGAGGCAAATGTGCCGAATTTACATCACCCTTGATATTGGAAGGTGGAAACTTGCTTGATTCCCCAAGATCCATTCCCGGTGGGTACAAGGAGCCGCTTTGACCTACTGGTTTGCTGGTTGTTAAACCTGGTGGGTAGAGAGCCGGCGTTACACTCTGTGACGATGGACCAGCGGCTTGGTCAATAGCATCATTCACCATTGCTGGTGGATATAGGCCAGAAGTTGTAGATTGAACAGCTGGAAAAGCGTTGTGTTCAGTAGGATGTAAATTGCTGGCAAGTTCAACTGGTTGTTTTCCAATTGGATCGTAAGTTTCAACAACGTCTTGGCCTGGTAATGTTTCGCCAGAAGTCTTACTCTGGTTACCCAATACGGTATTGGGTCTAGGAATACCACTGAATGCCATAGCTGAATCAGACGATACTGTGGCTGTGTCCCCAAGTGAATAATTTTTCTGGTCGAAATCAGGAAAAGTTGAACTCGGTGGCGGTGCGTTCAGGTTTTGAGCTGAAGATACATGGTAGGTGTTTTGGTCTCGACTGGTAGGTGGTTCAAATTGAGATGCTGCCGATTCACTGTGGTCGAAAGGCCATTTCCCTACTTTAGGTTCTTTCTCTGAAGCTTCTGTATGCTGAAAAGAATGTTGTGCATCGGTGTTCATCGAAAAACCAGGCACTCCATCTCCTGCTACAAAAGAAGGAAATCTTCGGCTCTCCTCCTGACTAGAACCAAAACCTTCGAAAGGATCATTCTGGTGCTGCCCGGAAAACAACTGGGACGTTCCACCGCCAGGAGTAGATGATTTCGCCACGTTAAACAGGTCGTTTCCAGTATGGGCAGAAGGCTGTGCTGGCAAATTTGACCCGTAAGATGGTGGAGTCAATGTTGCATGGTTCTCAGCATCCGAGAGCTGTTTGGCATGAGGTGTTTCTTTGGTAGTTGAAGCACCAGCTTCACTAAAGAGCTGAGCTGTTGGATATCGCTCCTGTGCCCCATAGGATGGTTCTTGCATCGACATGCCGTGGTCTCCTACATTTTGACGTGGATGTGCATACGCGCTCAGATTTGCTGGCTCAAAATTTTGAGCGTTTGTCGCTGGCGATACGAAACGTTGCTCGGCTGCATTCGATGTTGGTGGCAAGGCCGGGAACGATGTTTGATCCTTGTTA